TATGCAATTAATTGTAGGTCAATAACATCTCAATTAAGGCTGTTTTAAAAACTCATCCTTAATGATTTGGCTGCAGGACCTGAAGCAAAATACATGCTGAGGAGACCCAAGGTCACAGAACATCAAGATTAACAACTTTACTTGTTTCTAAAACCCACTTTGTCATCGTGAAAGAAAGAGTCTCGTTCATCACAATTAATAAGCTATTACGTCTACACTGAGGTTCTTCCTGTACCACAGATAAAATAGGGCACGCCATTCAATTAAGCTTCACTATCCTCTCCCCTTATCTAGGGGAGGGGGTTAAGGTCAGCACATGAGAAAGATTTAATGTATTAGAAGAGTATATGATTAGTTATCAGAAACCTGTGATATAAAACTAGAGAACACGTGCTAATATAAAAAAGGCTTTTCTTTACACTTTCTCTTCCACACCTCTCTTTTCTCTCCTTCCCTTTTCAGTGGCTTCTTGCTACTTTCTGTCTTTTGCTTCCTCCACTTCCGTCCCCGTCCCTGTCTCCCTCCTCCCCTCCCATTTACCAACAGGAGTACGCAGTGGCTGGGACCACAGCATGGGCCCTGGTTCATTCCCTGCTTCCAGACTCCACCACTGTTCAGGGCATGGCAGTTTGTGTCTTATGTTCTGGTGTCCATGATATAGACAGGGGTAAAAATCAAATGCCCTCTCTTCATCGAGTTGGTGTACAATAGCTGTTCTCAGCCTATGGGTCGTTTGGGGGTTTACATATCAGATATTTGCATTACGATTCATAACAGTAACAACATTACAGTTCTGAAGTAGCAGCAAAACAGTTTTATGGCTGGGGGTCACCACATCATGAGGAACTGTATTAAAGGGTCCCAGCGTCAGGAAGGTTGAGAACCACTGGCGTATAAAATGAATTGATACAGGACGAACAACTTGGGAGGAGTTATTAATCACCATGCAAGTTACCGTTCTCAGAGGGCTCATTCTATGCCAGACACTGGACTCCAACCATGACATGTAAACAGCCCTAGGCTCAAGGCGGATTTGAGAATACATGAGATCCCGAGATCTGGATCCCAGTCCTGACTTGGCCAGTCCAATTCTCTGGCCCCAACTGTGTTCCTCCTACATCAGAGCATACGCTATTTATTGTTAAAATGGGGGAGTTTGGTGTAGAAGATGAATTTATGATCCCTTTCAGCTTTAACTAATGCACTTTCTAATTCAAAATTATAAGAACATTACAAAATGAAAAGCTTTGCTATATATAACGTTTGGGCACAACTAAAGTGACTTCAGTTTTCCTATTACAGCAAAGGCCATTTGTCTTGCAGGCCAAAGGGACATCATTAACATGTCAGGGGACCATAGCGTTTAGTGAGAAATTGTAACATACAGTTTTGATTTGTGTCTTTGGGAGATATTCAAAGTTCTGAGTTTGAACTCCCTCTTCCTGGCACTGGATGTGAAGTCTCCTGAGAGGCCAGAGGGTGTCTATGTCCTCTTTAATGGGGGGGGTGGGTCCCGTTACCCTGGCCTCAATGATCCACCAGAAGTGACCCTCATCTCATGCATGCTGAACGCGTTCTGGCTCTGCCAAAGTCGGGCATTCTGAGTGGTGAGTGAAGTAACTACAGAAAATTAGCAGTCCACACAGACGAACTTGTGTGACATTCCCTGGAAGGGGATTGGAATATTCTCTATGTAATGAATGCGGTTGGCCGTGCAAGCAAAATAGCTTTTACGAGGCAAAGAAATTGAATGCAGAGACTTGAGTTGGTCCCATCTCATGGTCTTACATCACATGGCTTGGTGAGGAGAGGACAGCAGTCAGACTAGATGTGAGTGCTCCGGATTGTGTGTGTGTGTGTGTGTGTGTGTGTGTGTGTGTGTGTGCATGAGGGGGCAGACAGCCTGGGTTTAGCGCTAATATTTGGAGGTGTGAATATGGTGGGGAGGGGCCTTCTGCTAACACTCTGGGAGAAACTGGCACATGGGTGGGAAATCGCCAATACTCCGACGACTCACGTAGGAGTGTCAAACTGCTGTTGGGTCGAGGACTTATTCACAAACTGCTACACTAATTACCTGACCAGTGGCTACCAACTTGCCCATTGAAGACTTATTGACAGCAGGCACCACATAGGAATTTTGTTAAAATAAATGAACATTAGGTCTTATGACCAGAGTCTTAAGTCTCTTTTATCTGCCAGGACACAGTTTCTCTTTTTCATATTCCTCCTTTTACCTGCCAGGACATTGTTTCTCTTCCTCATATTCCTTAGAGAAAAGCCCCTAAACTGTTTTCTATTAGGAGTTGTAGACCTGTTTCCACAAAGCTTATGATGTGACTAACCTTATGCCATTTATTGTGGTGATATATCCGTGTACCCTAATAAAATTTGCCTAAAGATCAGAGGACAGAACAAGCCACTAGATTAAACAAAGATGCCAGGCCGAGGTGGCACATACCTTTAATCCTAGCACTCGGGAGGCAGAGATCCGTGTGGATCTCTGTGAGTTCAAAGCCACCCTGGATTACGTGAGATTGATTCAGTCTAGGAGAGAAACAGAGGCAGGCAGTGGTGGGACACACCTTTAATCCCAGTACTTGGGAATCACACACCCTTTGTTGTTGTTGTTGCTGTTTTTCAAGACAGGGTTTCTCGATGCAGTTTTGGTGCCTGTCCTGGATCTCGCTCTGTAGACCAGGCTGACCTTGAACTCACAGAGATCTGCCTGACTCTGCCTCCCGAGTGCTGGGATTAAAGGCACACACCGCCGCCGCCGCCGCCGTCGCCGCCGCCGCCGCCGCCGCCGCCGCCACCACCACCACCACCCAGTGGGAATCACACGCCTTTCATCCCAGAAACAGGAAGAAAGTAATATGGCTGGGCAGAGAAAGGTATGTAAGGGGTGAGGAGACCGGAACTAAAGCCCTTTTCGGCTGGAAGCCTTTCAGCTAAGGACTCAGAGGCATTAATTAAGTCAGAGGATTCATGGAGTCGGCGAGGTGAAACGTGGCAGTGGCTTGTTCCTTTGTCTTTCTGATCTTTCAGCATTTACCCCAATATCTGGCTCCAGGTTTTTTATTAAAAGACCATTGAGGCCGGGCGGTGGTGGCGCACGCCTTTAATCCCAGCACTCAGGAGGCAGAGCCAGGCAGATCTCTGTGAGTTCGAGGCCAGCCTGGACTACCAAGTGAGTTCCAGGAAAGGCGCAAAGCTACACAGAGAAACCCTGTCTCGAAAAACCAAAAAAAAAAAAAAAAAAAAAAAAAAAGACCATTGAGCAAGCCGTGTTACAATGTATTGCTAGCTGGAACAGCCTGCCTCAACTCGCACATTATTATTAATATTATTTATTATTTTTAGCTCTTTAGAGCCTGACAGTCACTATTAATAACACTGTAGCCTTTGCAAAGTCATGAAGTGACCTGCAGGTTTCCTACCCCAGCCACCAGATAGGTCATCTGGAGAGGAAAGTGAATGATTTGGTACCTCAACTGGCCACTGTCTTAGAAGAAACAGCTCGTTTGATTAGCTGGCATCTCTAAGTGAGGGGTTGGGAATGTGTGTGTGTGTGTGTATGTGTGTGTGTGTGTGTGTGTGTGTGTGTGTGTGTGTGTGTGTTGGGGAGAGCGAACAGGAAATTGAAGTTTTCCTCTAATTTCTTGGGTGGTTAAAGGATACCAGAGGATCTTTATCAATCACTGATGACTAAGTTTAATTTTTAAAAATTGTATTAGTTTATTACTAAAAACTGGGAAATAAAGCAAATAAAACACAGACTCACAGAAATAAAACTGGCATTATTTTAGTTTATTTTCTACTAATACTTTCCTGGCATATTTTCACACAGCTGACATCACATCTATGTAACTTTTTGTCTTATTCACAAGATATTCTATGCATTTCCCTATAACACACACACATACACACACACAAACACACACACACACAAACACACACACACACACAAACACACACATACACACACACACACACACACACACACACACACACACGAGAAACAGAGTCTTGCTTTTATGTCCATGTAGGACTCATGATCTTCCTGCTTTTCCCTATAACATGTCACATCTTATATTTGGGTGTGTATTTTTGTTTTTGAGACAGGGTCTTGCTTTTTAAGTGGGCCAGTCTAGGACCCATGACCATACCTCCTTTTCCTGAGTGATGGGATTAATGAGTGTGCCGCCATGTCTAGTATATAATCCTTCTTAATCTCAGAATATTTCTACTGTAGTGAAGCTATAGTATGATTACCTGTTCTCTTGTTATGTTGCTGGGAATACACATGACTCACCTGTGCTTTCTCGTTAAGGATATTTCTATGATGTGACATTACAGGATTCGACTTAATATATTTTTTAGGCCTTAGATATAGTTAACCCAAGGGTTGTAGCAAAAATACCGCCCCCCACCACAACTAACAGTGTATAAACACATTTCATCTTATGGCAATACTGATCATTTTGACCATTTCCTGAAAAAAAGAAAAAAACTTCCAAGTTTGATAGTAAAACAGTATTTTATTATAATTCTATTTACATTTCTCTGATTATTAGCTACACTTCCTTTTTCTCCCTTTTCTACCAACTGTGCCCAGTGCTTACATTTTCATCCTGAAGAATAAGATTATTTTATTTTATAAAGTCTATTGACGTGATGATAACATTCACTAAGGTGCATTTTATTAGACTGACTTACGTATTTGTTACACAAATATTCTAAAGGCTGTAGTTTATTGACATAAAAAAAATGAAGCATACGTGGTTAGGGATCATGACACACCAACATTAAATACTGTTTCCAAATAACATGGTTTGTTTTGTAGTGCAACGGCTGCAGAAGGCATGATTGATGATACCTTCAAATCAAATGAGGACACATAATCTTTACATTAAGGAGAACAGGATTATAAAAATACAATTCTGGTAAACTCTAGAAGACCGTATTGGGATTACCGAAGAATAAATTCTTTTATTTACCTCTTCAAAGAACAGATTATTTTTTTCACCTCTTTGTGTGCGTCCTTGTCCTATAAAGAAAATACAAATGTACAATGAAATGTCACACATTGATCTCGAGACTCTATGTACTTTGATATGGACGATTTGTGATGTAGGTGCATTTCTTGAAAGGCTGTTATAAATAGCCTATTGGGGCCTTCTCAGTACACTCCAGGCTACTGAACTTGAACGTTGTTGCTAGGCCAACAGTGTGAGGCTACTGATGAAGCCAATAGTTCATTCAGCAATCATCATATACTGCCTTGACACAAGGATTCAAATAGACTATTGATTCCTTAGGACTGAGCAGAATGCTCAGTCTAGGAGAACGGAGAACGTAGTTAATGTAAGGAGGTGTTTCTCTGTGAAATGTGGAGTGGGATGAGGAAGGGAGAGTCTTCATGTAGGCTGACACCCTGGTTCTTCCAGTATGTTAATGTAGTGCTGTCTGCCTTTTCTAAGTGATGTGAAATCATAATCCTAGCAGCAGGATTTGAGGTTACCTGAGATTACCCCAGAAGAGCCATGTACGCATAGATGACATATACAAACATGTCACCATATGATGTTTCATAAATGTTAGACATTGCATTATTGACTTTATCAGGTAGCTTATACTAGCGATAACTCTCCCGTGAGTGATTAATGTCATCTGAAAATATTATAGCAATTTAAAGTACAGTTTATCCTTCATATTAATACCTCTGTCACTGTGAATCAAAGCATTGTATTTTCTTTCCCATCTGACCTTCTCAGTACACTCCAGGCTGCTGAACTTGAACGCTGTTGCTAGGTAAACAGTGTGAGGCTATTGATGCAACAATATTTCATTCAGCAATCATTTATATACTGCCTTAGACACAGGAATTCCTTTTATTTTCTGTTTTAGAGAATGTCTTTTAGGATCTGTGATTGGCCCCTTAAAGTGAAGAGATGCTCACATAAGTAATAGAAATGCTGCCGTTTGGGATTCCTGGACGGTAAAGCTGTTTATACACATTAATTTGGGCTCTAGAGACCAAATGGCTAACAGTCTGAGTAGCAACCAGATGTGTGACCGGTTTAGAACGTCCTGGGTGAGAGACAAAGACACATTCACGGATAACGTCATTAGAGGAGACGTTACAGGTGCCATAAGAAAGATGAGGGATGCTAAGAAAGTTCCCAGGCAGGGAGCAAGCTAACGGTGGGGCATCCTCACTGTAACTCAAGGCGCTTTGAGTTGGGCAATGAATAAACTAGTTAGCAAAATCACTCACTGGGTCTGTTTCAGACTGAAAGAAAACTTAGAGACAGGTGGCTATACATATAAATCACTTTATCCTATGCTGTCAACATAAAGGGAACTGAATCCCTGACTGTATGTCTACAACTTAGAAAAAAAATGAACAGCACAAAGGAAGGTTAAAAAAGATGATAATTGAACCTCAGTGCCGGTGAGGCCCTCACACTCACTCTCACTGTCTAGGCTTACCTCTTTGGTAACAATAGGCAGTAATAATGCCAAGTTGCAGAATTTCCAGGCATCCTGAGATTCCTCAAGATCAACGTAACACTAGAAAAGAAAAAGAAGTCCATCTGAGAGGCCACCCACACTTAATGTAATGCACTCACAGCCATCTTCAAGCAGTCCTCTTCCTTACCTTGGCCACGAACATGTAGTTGGACATGGAATAACCAGGTTGCAATTCTTCAGCCTGGATGGAGAGAAAGTAGACAAGAGGATAATGGGCAACGTTATAACAGGGATGCTGTCATCGTGAGACAGGACGCAGTTCCAGAAATCAGACACCAGTGGCCAAACTGTCACAAGAAGTTTGGTTGTTCCATGTGTGAATACTTTTATTGGTTTAAGTATCTTTGTGTAGAAGCACAGTTTTTAAAGATAGCTATGACAATGGATTGATGCTTCCATTATGGTCATTAAGCTTTCCCAGCAACGAGATTAGTTCCCATACAATCATCGCCTTTGGTTTTACTGTGCTATTCTTTCTCATCTTTTCTTTTGAGAACAAAAACATTTGGCAGCCCACTCTCCCCGGGACAGGTCCTATACATTCCACAGTCTGTTTAGGAAGTAGGAGAAGAGCATAGCTGTTAACCCATGGCAAGCATCTTTTAATAGACCTAGGCTCGATTGCTTAGGAACACATGTCACATGATTTAATAACATGTGTGGGGCTTTTAACAGAAATATAGGATCCTTGAAATAGCCAGTCCCAGCAGCAGACAGTGCAGGTACTATTAATGTCCCCAACTTCACTCTTTCATCCACAGTTTCTAATCTCTGGGGCATAAGAATTCCTTGGGAGAGTGGGTACTAGAAATCTCTTCTAAGGACCCAAGTCAGTCTTTGCCTTGGATCCACCTTTTGCCAAGGTGGCTAGGCATGTGAGCTCCCAACATGGCTCCAGTCCCCAGCCTGGAGGGGCACAGAACCTAAGGGAGAGATATACCTACAGAACTTTAGAGATTCAGTTATTTACAAATTTTAAAAAGCCAAGTGTCTCCTTTCTAATTTTATTTTCAACTTCATGCTCCAGGAATACACTATCAACTGTTCAACAGTTATTCGACAAGACTATTCATTGGATATAGAAATAGAAGTAACTAGTTTATGAAAAATAATACCTAGAATGGGGCTATTTTCTATATGTGTTTCCCTTCCTGGAGCCACAGACACATTTTCATGTTAGCATACACAGACCTGCTTCATTGTTCCTAAAAGCTGTATTTCAAACTACAGGTATACGATCATTAAATTCAGTACTTCCCGTTAGACATTTAAATTCGTTCTCAGTTTTCACTCTCAAGGGACACCCTGCTCCTGTATATGTGTATATGTCTGTAGGTTAGACTGAGATGGACAGGTAAACAATGTACGGCCATGGCACAGAAGGGAGACAGCACAGATGTCAGTAGATGAGAAGTCATCCTTTCCATCCTGGCTCGAGTTCTGCACGTGCTCTTGAGCATCCACACTACTGACAGACTCTGGCTGGCCAGGTGCTTCTCTTTTCTTCTTTCATTTGCTTCGCTGTTTTGCCTGCCTGTGTCTGTATAAGGGTGCCAGATCCTGGAGTTACAGACAGTTGTGAGCGGTCATGTGGATGCGGGGAACTGAACCTGGGTCCTCTGAAAGAGCAGTCAGTGCTCTTAACTGCTGAGCCATCTCTCCAGCCCCGTGTTTCTCTTTTCGAATCACTTCCATCTCAATATTCCTCATCTGGTAAGAGTATTTCTTGAGCCATTCCAAGAAGGACTCAGGCTGACAGTCCAACTGCACCTCCTTCGACATTCAGGACTTGTCTTTGCTCTGTGAAAACCCTATCTAGATAACATCTACTCATGTGCTCTCTCCTTCAACCCCTCCAGGAAACAACAAAATAACTGGAACATGTGCATAGACCTCACGAGGTGGGCATTTCTAATCTGGAAACTGGAAATCCCATATGCTCTGAGTTTGAGACTTTAAGAGCTGACAGGAAGGTGCTCCAAGATTGGAGGCATTTCTAGTTGCAGGTTTCTGGATGTGGATCATTCAGTTTGTAACTACAGGATTGTATAACTGGTTTCAGAGTAAGTTAGTTTAATGGGTGGATATAGTGCATGCTTAGATGTGTACAAAACTACCTTTACTTGTTCAAAGTTGTATCAGCAAAGCAATTATACACTCTAAAGTAAGAATAAAAATACTGGTTTGATCTAATGCCTGAAGACCCTCTATAGAAGTGTCTGCAACTTAGAAAGCGATTGGTAAGGTAATTCTTCACATCTCTTGGGTAGCTATTTGCTCCAACTGAAACATCCTTTCCTGGAGGGAGGAGAGAGGCTTGCAAGACTCAAGAAGCTAAGGAAACTTAGGAGGCACATGAAACTCGGGGACCTTAACCAGATTTCAGGGAACCCAGAGAGTTAGGAGACTCACATGGCCCCGCTTCAAGGCAGGAAACAGTTGCCGGGAAAAAAGACTGTTGAGTGGAGTAGCCTGAAAGCTGGATGAACTCTAGGGAGGCTGCTTCTCCAGTCATCACCCACACTGGGGTGTTCTGGGGTGCAGCTGCCTGGAGTCCCATATGCTCCTGTAAGGAACCCTATAAACTCTGGCTCACCCAGCTCTGCTTGGGTAGACTCAATTTGTTGTCAGCCTCCTGTCGGGTCCCAATGAACATTTGTCCCCATCTCCCCAGAAGAGTCACACAACAGAACCTTTTAAGATTATGCTGGTTCTGTGTCAGGCTCGTGAGGAATGCTGGGAGCAAGTTCAATTATTTGCTCTCAGATTTGGTAGTAAGGGTTGCTCTGCCTATACCTTAATTTAGGCTACCGAATTTCTTTTAAGAAGCAGTGTGCCAGCAGGATGTGGTGGCATATGCTTTTACTCTCAGCACTCTGGAGGCAGAAGATCTTTGAGTTTGAGGCCAGCCTGGTCTACAGAGTGAGTTCTAGGACAGCCAGGGCTACAGAGAGAAACCCTGTCTAAACAAAACAAAACAAAAAACAAACAAACAAACAAACAAACCCAACCACCAACCAACCAACCAAAAACAAAACAGAAAATTAATATGCCATTCCTAGGACCAAGAGCATAATTTCAGATCCAGAAAGCTTATATTTGAAGCATAACTTGAATCTTGAGAGACTTAAGAGCAACACCGTCAAGGTTACAATTCAAATCGGGGCTTCAGTTAGAGCTCTGCCCATGGAGAAAAGAACCATTTCCTTGGCAGCAGGCCAGCTGAGGCTGCTGCGGATGAAGCAGAATGACACTCCAATGACAGACAAACGCACCTTAAGAAAGTTATGCAAAGCTTCCTGAACCGTTGATGATGGTATTTGTCCGAACAGAGTGGCAGCCATTTTTTTCTCAATCCAGCTGAGTTTTGAGACCTATACATACAAAGGAACAGCACTCTTAGGAAGCTATTCATCTTCTGAATGGATGCTCTCTCCAGCGACATGTGTAAGCATATATGGATCTATGTGCATATACATAACGCATGGTAATAAACATACTCACAACTAATATATCACAGTATGTAGTAGCGACAGGACCTGCCCCTACTCTTGCCACCAACTAGCCTCCTGAGTCACTTCTTAAAGATGGATATGAAATCAGAATTCCTAGTCTAGGGAGTTTAGAGGGCTGAGCATTATTTACTTATTTACTACTCAGGACTCTGAGAGGCGACCAGTAGATGCTCCAGGAGATGTTCCAGTGGACGGCCCTACACCCATGCACATACTTAGTGGGTTCAAAAAGAAAGACAGCATTTGAAGGTGGGAGGGAAGAGTGGAAGGGAGGATAGGAGAGGAGTTGGAGAGAAAGGGACGGGTGGATTTGAACAAAACAAACTATATGCATGTATGGAATGCTCAGACAATAAAAAAAAAAACAGTAATCATTCAATTTCATGTTGTCATTTACTTGTTCACTGTTCCCAAATACGAATATCGGGCATGTATTTCAGAAATGCTACTTAAAGACACTGATGACGCCCTTGTCCTCCCAGTGACATCAAAGATCTTCTCAACCCATCTTTCAATTTCTAGGTAGTCATCTTCTGGTAAAAAGAAATACATACCTGTGGAGCTAGGAATATAGTTCTGTGGTATAGCACTTACTGAGCATACGTAAGGCTGTGGGTTCAATCCCTGATGTTGACAAAACTATGTGCATTTCACACAGTTTTATTTATTGATTTGCTTAGTTTTGTTATTCTGAACTTTGTAAAAATTGTATCGCACTATGTATTTCCTTTTGTGATTTTTTTTTTTACCTAACATTGCTTTTATCAGATTGATGAGTATAACTGAAGTCCAGTCATTTCAATGCATTATTAAGTACGGAATTTAATATGCTTATTATGTGCTTTACCTATGAATACTTTTTGTATTCTTGATTTATTAATTTTCAGTAAAGGCAGGTTGGGGGTCAGGAAGATGGCTTGCTGTGCACACATAAGAACCTGTGCCCAGTGGCCAGCACCCAAGTAAAAGGCATGGGGCAGGACATGATTGTAAGTCCAGCATTGGGGTTGGGGGGTGGGATAGACATAGACAGGCCCCTGACCCTTGTTGGCCAGCCAGTTTAGTAGAACTGGTAAGCTCGATTCAGAGAGAGACCTTGTCTTGAACCATAAGGTGGCGGGCCAGTTACTGCGAAGACATCTGATGCCAACCGTTGGCTCCATATGCGCACACGAGTTTGTGCACGCACACACATACACATATACACACACGAACCACATACCACTCTATCCCCCAACATCCCATCAAGTAGCATGTAAAGTCTACCAGCATTTTGTCAAATTGCAAACATATGTATATTTGCATAATTTGGTCAATTTTTATTTTATAATTTTGAGGCTAATATTAGAGGCATAATAATTTACAAATTCTTTCAGTTATTGCAGCCTTTTATTTTTACAGTTACACTCTGTAGCTCTAGAAATAACTGTATCTTAAAATAGATTAAGTGCAATATGAAATATAAAGCATAAGATTCACATGTGGCACACAGCAGGTCTTCAATAAGAGAGAGCCTACTCCTCCTCCCCAATCCTCTTTTGGCCTTAATGAAAAGGTTCCTTATTTACAAATTGTATATTCCAGCCCTGCACCTTTTTCATGCACCTTTTTGGATACACTTTTACATTTTGTAACTCTTTTGTAAGCTAACAGTGTTATTTAGGACACCAGGTCTTAGGTTGACCAGTTGCCTTTATTTGAGCTATTTTAATATCTCACACCCCATCACCTTAAGTTCCTTGAAGGAACCTTAGCCTGTATCATGTTTGACGATAACTTTTGGGACTGTAGATTAGTGATGAATGTGTAAGGTGGTCCTAGTTTGATCCCAAGCACTACAAAAAAATAGTATTTATCTTCTTTCCACAGAACTATGGTAGTACACTTGTATACAACATGTGTGTGGTAGCTGATCTCAACCTAAGAGGCCCAACGTATGACTTCTGCAATTCCATGGAAAGATAAGAAAAAAATGTATACACACAGACACACACACACACACACACACACACACACACACACACACCTAGGTATATATAAAATGTAAGTTTATAAATGATAAAATATATACACTATAATTTAAAATTAATATTCAATTTCAAAACATACATGTCATACATTAAAAATTAATTTTACAATGCTCTCTAATGTGCAATAGTTATGAGTAAGCCATTGGAAATGTATTAAATACCCACATCGTATTCAAGAGTTCTATGCAAAGGCATTAACTTACAGTATAACAATATCTTCCCTTGAGGTAATACAAAAAGGGTTCTTCAGGTAAGAGCTGGATGGCTATATCTAGATGCTCCTGGAAAAAAAAATCACAGAAAAGTCATCTCCTACTTTCAGATACTGCTGAACGGAGCCTTGCCAAAGCCCAGGGAACTCAAGGTGGTCTGACAGTGTCTCAGCAACTTCCCCATTCCTCACCACTACCACAACTAAATCTTGGCTATAATTCAAAATTGAAATTCCCGTACCTGGAGCTAAAGCTGCGCCTGTGCCCTAGGCAGACCATGCTTAATCTAGAGCCCAGCGCCACAGTAAAACTAGAATATGACCAAGTCAATCGTCTTTGAGTCCTAGACTTTCCCAGTGAAGACACATCGACCCAGAAGCGAGTTTATCTGTACAAGACGGCGTGAAGCAGGATTTAATTTAAGAAAAACAGCAGTGCTGGAGCGGCATGGATTGATTCCCTAGACACTGTCAGAGTGAGTACCCAGAGCTGGGATACAAGGAAGAGCCATTTTCTCCCTCCACAATTACCGAGTCAGAGATTAGTTATTGGGTCACAAAAATCAACAGCAACCAGTACATGGTATGTAGACAAGTTGCTTATTTTGTTCACGCATCATGGTAACTAACTTTAAGCTTTAGATTAGACCCTACATCCCCTACTTCTGCCCCCGAAGTCAGTAGAGACTGTTGGCTGCCTAGTCCCAGTCAAATGTTATGATGTCAGTGAGTTCATGACCAATAAAATCGAACACTCACCTACTATGTGGGTTCCTGTACCTTCTTGGATAATATTTAGCAAACCAAATGGTTTGATTCTTTTTGTTACAGTATTAACTGTTTCATTTTCTGTTGTTGAAACATCAAAATAAATCCCCAGAGTTTAACATGCTGAATAATCTCATGCCAGCTAGTGAAATGGAACATTCTGAACTCCAAGAAATACCTTGAATAGATGTCCACAGTTAATTTTGTTTTGCAAGCCCTCAAACTCAGATACATAACCACATAAAACTGCATACCTGGAAAGGAAAAACAAAACAGTGTCTGCCATGTAAAATTGTAAACAAACGCCACTATCATATAACACATATTTCTAGAGCACTCATCAACATTTTACAGAAGAGGTGATATAGATGCAAGGCCCTATAACTAGATATTTGACATTAATGTGAAGTCAGCTTCTTCAGGCATAAATGCGCACATTATTGTTGTCTGTGCCATACACACTGTGGTGAGGGTAAATGAGCCACCCAATATAATGTGATTTCAACAATGCCTGGCAAACAGGAGGTTTTAGCCAGTGCCAGATGCCATCATCAATGTCATCATCAGATGGTCTCTCAGAGAAAGTTTAATCATGCACTAAACTGGGTAAAAATGTGTTAATAGATTTATAAATTTTAAAACATATTAAAACCAATATGCCTCTTTAAAACTTTCCCGACCTCCTTAAATGTCATTGAAAACAAAACAACTCTCATGATTAAAACCAAATAAAACTAAAGATAATCTTACAGCATGCTTTGAAAAGATTTTCCATTTCTCTCGATTCCTGCTGGAAACAGTGTATTAGTACAAGAGTGTTTCTAGGGATTTCTCTTCCCCACTGGGCATACAAAATGTATAGAAATGGTTATTTGACTACAGGCTGGGTGCAGTGTTCAGCAACTTGCTTATTTACTTTAAAAATTGAAGGGACTTTTTTTTCACACCCGTTTCTGTCTGTGAAAGGCTTCAGAGGATTTCAGAATGCTGCTGCCTGAGGCAAAATACACACATTAACTTATGCTTAGATTGTGTGATTGTTACCGAATTGCATTGTAATAATAATTGAGATCAGGAATGTGGTCCCTTTCGGCTGTGACATTGTTCTCTTTACGGCCACTGGAATCCACCACAGTAGAGGCAGGAGGAACAGTCGATCCAGCCTAGTAGAAATGACTGAGAACCTAGAGTATAACAGATGACTACTCACACATTTTAAATGAGACTTAATATTGTTCTTCTGCACCCAGAGGCTGGATATTAAAAGAGTGCTGTTCCAGAGCATTCTTAACCTCCTTTGTGAAATCTGGACCCTTTGGCTGCAGGTCGCCAGGTCCCTGCTGCTCCTGGGTTACTGTTCCAAGCCTTCAAGCCAAGGACCACTGCCCCTCAGCTTTGTTTCCTCCTCCAGCACTGACTTGAGTCTTTTGTTTCATCATATAAAATATGTTCATGATATCCCAAAATAAGTCGATGGGATGTTTGGCTGGTGGTGTGCGGAATCTCAGAGCCACAATGGGGAAACTGATACCTTGACAATACTGGGGCTGTGTACCCACAGCATGAACTAGCTCTCCATATCCCTTACCACAGCTTTGCACTTTTCCTCATACAGATCCTGTATACATTTTGTACATTTTTAAAAACCTAAGTATTTAAATTTTCGGGGCATGCTAATGCAAATGGCAATGCTCATGAAATTCTGGCCCCAGTTTTCTTGTAATATTTCATCTTGTTTTAGAAGTATTATAGTGCTGGGATAAAGAGAGGGAATTCTGGAAGAGCTTGTAGAAAGCTGGTGTGTTTTTTTTTTTCCTTAAATATGTGATAGAATTTACTGGTGGATCCTAGTATTTCCTGATTATTATTATTATTAGGCTTTTTGAGACAGGGTTTCTCTGTGTAACAGCCCTGGCTATCCTTGAACTCACTTACTTAGACCAGGCTGGCCTTGAACTCACAGAGATCCACCTGCCTCTGCCTTTTGAGTGCTGGGATTAAGGGCATGCACCACCACACCTGGCTCCTGTCAATTATTTATTCTATGCCTTTAATAAATAAAGGCTTAGGTTGATTGTCTATTTATATGTTCTTTTGAAATGCTCTCTAAAATTCTGCTGTATCATTTCTTCCAAAGACCTCTAGGAGTAATTTCAATCCTTCTAGAGTTCCATGTAAGTACCTCTATTTTGGTTATGAGTATTACAATTTTTCAACTTATTTGGACTCAAAACCTCAGGCCACTTTCTATTTAAGTATACTTTCCTTTGGAATAGCTTTAAATTTACACACACACAAAAATGCATATAGCACAGGCAGTTAGCATACCCCATACTTAGTTTTCCCCATTTTTAGCATATGCTATTACTACAGTACATTTGTTTTAACTGTATCGATACTGATAAACAACTGTTACAATGAACCCACATTAATATACAATTATTAATTAAGCTTTATACTTCACTCAAATGTCTGTTTTTCCCTAATGTTTTTCAGCATTTTGGACACTTTAATCACAAATTATTAGGGATCTTTTTTTTTAACATGGTAAAATCTTTTGAATTATTATTGTCAACTTTCATAAGTCCAGCACCTCCTAATTTTTGTTTTCTATAATTTTATAAAAATACATTTCTATGTTTTCTGAATAATCAGAACTACTTATGTAATCTCTGGGTTTTTTAGTCTGCTCTTATTACACGTTCTTTCCAAGTTACTGTGAGTGAAGAGAAAAGACAAAGAAATTCCACGAGTTATAAACATTAGAGGAAGTGCTCTTTCCCTTTCAAACAATATGTCCCTAGAGACTTAGGACATTTATAATCCATCCTGAAATCTGTCTTTTGATTCTGAAAATATTATTTGTCTTTTTCTCTGTCATAAACTCCACTCGCTCACTTTCCCCCAAAAGGCCATCACTTCCTTTCTTCCAGTCAGCTTTAGCTATGTGTATGTTATTTTTATAGTGTTCATTTTAAAATGTAACTTAATATTTTATTGCTTAAACTCTTAGTCGGATGGGAATTCTGAAGAAAGTTACTTTATACTATGGTGGATTACCGCCATCTAGAGGTTATTTGAAGTATTGTTGCTTTCACAAGACGTGATTCTGTGTGTGTGTGTGTGTGTGTGTGTGTGTGTGTGTGTGTGTGTGTGTGTGTGTATTTGCATTGGTATTGAATATATACCCTCAATGGGTGACAGCCATATTATTTCAACAATTCCTAAAGTAACCGCACTCATTTCTTGCAGTATTTGTGATTCAACACTAACATTACATACATGGGAGGGATCAGGGACAGCCTCCTGGAATACAGGGATGGCTGAAAACATCAGAATATAATATCTTAAGTTCTAGTTCTGCTTTTCTACATACGGTGTGGCCTTGCTTACTAATCAGCACACACACACACACACACACACACACACACACACACACACACACACGTATGGGGCTTTGCTTCTGTATTTAGAAAATGGAAACAGACTTTCCTGTGACACATACACTATCAGGTGTGCAGCTATAACTCACAAACAGTAGAGCATAACTCACATGGAAGATATATCTATACCTACAGCCAAACCTATTTGGCCAACACAATGCAAATATATTTCATTATCTCCATTCCAGAGTATTTTAGGTTGATATAATAAAGACAATGGAATCTTCTAGAATGTTTATATAGCCTTAAAGTTACAGCAGAGAAACTCTTTCCAAGCTAACCTATTCGCCCAGCTGTCCAATAAATATTTGTTTTGCTGGATTTAGGCTTCAGACCACAGTTTGCCATTCTTGTTGACTGAATGAGTCAAGTCATTTTCCTCAACACTGTGAGGACGAGCTATGGAATCGGTTTATCTAAATTCCACCCATTATTTCACAAGTCAAAGTTTAAGATTCTCTTTCATCACCACCTTAAATTTTACTATTTCACTGAATGAAGGCTTTTCTACCGAGGAGATAGAACACATTCTAAGAGTTAAGGTTAAACTGGCATTCAAACTTACTACATTTTCATCAACTGGATTGATTTTAACATTTTTAAAGTTAAAAATTGATACCAAATTTAAAAACATCATGTGAAACATAATTGGATCATTATTTTGTGGTGATAAGACTTAATCTAGTATTTAAGTCCCATTGCCACAAACAATTTAATTGACAAGAGAAAACGTGAGAGAGAGAGAGAGAAGGGGATTAAAGGAGACAGAGCAACCTACTGAGCATGATTTCAGCACAGTCCGCCTTAGCTAGCCAGAACACAGGTACTTATGTGGGGAGGGGCTTAGAGAAGACTCAATATTGCTTCTGTATGAAAACTGAAAACTTACACTGATAAAGGTCCTCACTGAAGACAATGTACATTTATAATGTGATTCTTCATGGGTTCAGAGGAATGTTGTGTTGTGGAATAAACTTTTTGTACATTGTGAAGATGTGTTACTCTGATTGGTTTGGTTTAATAAAAAGCGGAACGGGCAATAGCTAGGCAGGATGTTTTTGGCAGAGAGGATGGTGGGAAGAAGGTGGAGATGTGAGGAGATGCAGAGCAAGTAGGGTGGGTAATATGGAGATGTAGTAATAAAGCCACAGGCGGAAAGTAAATTAATAGGGTTAATTTAAGTTATAGGAGCTAGTTAGAAACAAGCCTAAGCTATCAGCCGAACTTTCATAATTAATAAGTCTCTGTGTCACTATTGGGGAGCTGATGGTTACAATGTTGGATAGAGGGAAGAGCAGAGGAAGATGAAGAAGGAGAAGAGGAGGAGAAGAAGGAGGAGAAGGAGGAGGAGGAGGAGGGGAGGAGGAGGAGGGGAGGAGGAGGAGGAAGGGAGAGAGGAAGTGAAACAGGGTATAGATGGAGGAGTAGGGAGAAGGACAGAAACTCAGAGTTAAGGGTGAAACAGGAGTGTTTTTTTTCTGGCCCAGATCTGGCTAACCGGGTCCCAGACCCCCAGTTTCAAAAGATGAGGAGAGAAAATAGCTTGCTCGGTACAAACTCATCACAGTACTCCTCAAAGTGAAGGAACAGAGCCCTTTAACACACACGCTAATTTAGAAGGATACGTTTATACAGATTAGATGACCTAGGCAAACTAACTAGAGATATAATACCCAGGATTCTTATACATTACAGTGATCTTTTAAGTCTGTGGTGGAAAGGTAACTTCACGGTCACCCCTTTGCTTCAGGTTTGACGGGGCATCAAGAGTAAAAGCTGCTTTTCCCACCCACTTTCTATTCAAGGGGCCACTATCCATGTAAGGTGTGCTGGGAGTCGAGTCACATGTTCTAGCTCCTAAAGTTCATTCCCCATTTTGGGGTGTGTTTCTTAGAATTTGGGGTACACAAAGACTGCTGGGTTTTTGTTGAGGTTAAAGCGAGTGCTTGGGAATGGAGCGCCCCCTGCTGACGGCCGACTAAACAGCCGGCTCTGCTTCTGGCTCCTCTGGTGAACAAATCCTTAGGGATAATGGGAATAGCGAAGAGGCAGCTGTTTTGAAATAGATTTTGCCTAATGATGTCCCTAAAGAATCAAAATAACCCCAGAGGGGGCATATTTCTGGAAACCTGCACTGAAGAAAGGGCCATAAGTTAATTTTTCACCGTATAGTCCTAATGTCTGGGGTAACAGTAACAGTGTGAACAGCCCACCAGAAGAGCAAAGCCAACCGAGGTAGCCGACAACCAAGGATCTAAAAATGTAAAGCTGCCGTGACAAGTGAAAGGAAGGATGATTTAAAACAATATGCTTCTTCTAGTTTTCTATTTTTCAGTATACAAGGGGGCCACGCCCTCAAAAACAAAACAGAAAACCCCAAACAAACAAAACAACCATAAGATGGTTCTCTGCTTTTGTTCCAAAGGTGCTCATCTTCCATCTCCCCACATTTCTCTGGGCTATCTTATGCACAGACTGGATTCTCCTCGACCTGGTGAGAGACAATGACCTCTACGCTTTGATTCTTTGGAGCATTTGTTCCACATTTTGTTCAGACACATGATGTAATTTTAGTATATGTTTCCAAAATACTGGTATATTTTATCTATCTATCTATCTATCTATCTATCTATCTATCTATCTATCTATCTGTCTGTCTGTTTTCGAGACAGGGTTTCTCTATGTAGTTTTGGTGCCTGTCCTGGAACTCACTTGGTAGCCCAGGTTGGCCTTGAACTCACAGAGATCTGCCTGGCTCTGCCTCCCGAGTGCTGGGATTAAAGGTGTGTGCCACCACCACCCCGCTAAAAAAACTGGTATATTTTATTAGACTTAATTATAGTTTACCCTCCGAGGCACGAGACTTGTTAGAGTCTCGTGAGATTCTCACGTTAAAAATGCATCTAAAGAGAAAGATGTGAGAATAACCATGGTAACAGTTGCTGTACTTTCCACGATCTTTTCCTGAGTGGCGAGTGTGGCTGACCAGTTCAGTGCAGCAATCATAGTCTTCAGAACTCAGGGCAGTGTAGAGAGAGAGGCGTAGAGAGAGGCATACCGTGAGGTTAAGGCTACAGGGCTCCCGTGTGCTTACCACAGATGGCAGTGTCCATTCATGGGTGCTCGAGTGATAGCTCTCTCTCCTAACGTTTTTCCTGAAAGACAAAGAGATTGAAGTTACTGTCGTTACAGGAGTTGGTAGGAGTCAGCGGCATCTCAGTAGGGTCCTAAGGTGGAAAGCATTTGTCCCAATTGTAATTTGTTAGAAGAAGACATTCGCCACCGGGGCCAACTGTTTACTCTGGGGGTCAGGCCTGATAATCTGTATTTTACTGGCTTTCAAGGATTTTGTTGTGCGCTCACATTTGAGATCCACTGGGTTAACTGACGTAGGCAAGGGCAAGGGAAGTTTCTTACTCATTACGTGAAAGTAAAACACATTGTTTTCTTGTAATCCATTCATACGACGTTTGCTGAGTGATCACTAGCTGTCATATTGTGTGAACCTCTAGAACCAAAGCATCCAATTAGAGACAGTTCTTGACTTCCAGGGCTTGCAGCCTTCAGTGTACAGCAAGTACACACACAAGGAACTTGACTGAAAAGCAAGTGCACCATCAAAGGACAGTAGAGAGTGTGTGAAGGGGCGGGGAAGGCCCAAGGATCTTGGCCTACTCATTCACAACAAGAATGGGTCCAAGGAACACATGATGCTCTTAAATTATTACACTCACTTTAGAATAGCTTTTAATCATGTGAAGACTATTTCTCACGGAGGCTCTCTAATGGCTTAACTGTATTTTCAGTATCTAAAAAAGAGAATACTTTTTTTCCTGTGCCTCTTTCCTCCCTGCCCCCACACCCTTTTTGTGCCTTGAAGACACTACCCCGTGACTACGAAAGTGGCTGAGAGAATCTTAAATAGGGATCTTGTAAAAATCAGTCTCTAATTTATGACTAATTTATGACTTGCTCAAGGTGCATGCTATAGTCTATCCACTAAGGGACATAACTTGTGTAGAAATCAACCTGAAATGGAAAAAGTTTAAAGTGAAGCATTCTAGTAATAACTGGTATTACCTTTGGACAAGCATCAAAGGATCAGTTATTTTTTAATGAAACACTAGAAACATACTCCCTTTCCCACAGGTAGAAACATACCATTTTTTTTTTAAATTTTGAGACAGAGTATCACACTGTTGCTTAGACTGGTATGGAACTCACTATGAATCCCAGGCTGACTTTGAACTCATGGCAATCCTCCTGCCTCAGCCTCTCCAGTACTGGGATTACAGGTATGAGCTACCACATCCAGCTAAAAATGTGTTCTTTTGTAAGAAACAAACTAAGTTGAGTCTGGTGGCTGGTGCATACCTGCACTTCTGGCACTTGGAAGTCTGAGGCAGGAGGATTGTGAGTTCAAGGTCAGCTTGCCCTGTACAGCAAGACTGTCTCAAAACAGAAGCTTAGATCTGAATCAATACTTCAGCTGCCTTGTCAAATGGAAACTTTTAGTGCACCACCACAGGCTTAAGTAGGGTCGAAACCACCACTCTGGGGATAACAGAGGAGGTTGGGTGGCACACAGGCTGGTTGTAACATCCCCTCTTCACCCCCAGGAACAGCTCCTTCCCCTACAGAACAGGCATTCATACCAAACATTTAAGTATTATTGCAATGCCCTCTTAAGAATGAGAATAATAGTTTACTTGGAATACAAGAGTAAACAGTCAATCACACTTGGAAAATGTGTTTGCATAATGGCGCACTAATTGAGTTTTATAAAAGAATTCTGAACGACCTCACACAGGAGCTGAGGAGGAAATCCGCTTCAACACCTCTCCTCATACTGAACCCAACATTCCTCAAGAGCCGGACTGAATCCTGACTCTCAGCCCCGGCGTTCCTGATCATTGACTTACTAAGCGTCTATTCCTCATACGCTGAATTACGACGGCCGTTTATCGGTCCTTTCCACACAGCCCGTTCTCACGTGTGGCACTGTCACACTCGCATGTGTCCCTTGCCTCCCTCTTCACCTCTTCTCGCTACACTTTGTTTTAACACTGTTTCCAGACAATAACCTCTTCAATGGATTTCTTAAACTTACAAAAAAGTGATTTTTGCTTTACTTCACTCTATGAATGAATGAAAACAGAGCTCTCTTTTTGCTGTGATACTGTAGATTTTCATCTTAAGGATAAACCTCATGTCGACCCTATGCACTCAGGATTTACCCCTGCATTCCCTTCATATTGTTTTCCCACTTTCCCATTAGCTCATACATGAACTCCTGTTCTAGTCACATTCATTACTGCGACAAATACTTTGACCAGAAGCAACTTAGGGGAGGAAATGCTTTATTTTAACTTACAGTTCATAGCCCACCATTGAGGAACGTCAGGGCAGGAACTCAGGCAGGGACTTAGATCCAGGCCTGCATTGCTTTTAACCAAGGAACTCACGCACAGCCAGGAAAGCACAGCCGAAACTAAGGAGACACGCTGTTTGATGTCTAGCTTGCAGGCCCATGCTTCAGTCCAGCACTCCATGTCTAGGGAATGGTATTGCCCACAGTGGGCTGGGCCCTCCTACAGCAATTATCAACCAAGACAACCCCCCACAGACCTGCCCACAAACCAATCTGATCTAGGAAATCCCTCAACTGAGACTCCCTTCGGGCAGCTCTAAGCTGTGTCAAGTTGGCAGTTAAAGCTAACTAGGACATCTCACTTGGGCTCCCAGTCAGTTTCAAAAGAGACTAAAACATTGTTCCTACGGGAACTGGTTACCTCCATAAGTTGTACCTATGGGAACTGGTTACCTCCATAAGAAAATTTCCCTCCATGAACCTCCAGCTCCTGCTACTGACTCCTCCTTTTTGCTACAAACTCTGAGCACCCCCATCCTCTTTTAAAATAACAGTCCATCTCTGTTGGCCTCTTTATATGTGACCATTTGAACAGTACCGCCTTCCCAACAAAGTCAGAGGCCCCCCTCAGTCATTTTGAGACCCCATCTATTCTGCGCTCCTAGCCCCATCTGCTAACAGAACATCCAAGAGAAGGAAGTGTTAGAGAAAGAAATACATGACTGCTGATGAATGTTCAACAGTTTTTACATCAATATGCTTTATTCGCGCCCCCCCTCACAGATATGGATATAAATCCTTTTAGACTCTGGTTCAAAATTTCTTCTTTAAAAACTCCACCGTGTATGTATATCACCTGCCAACTGGATTGCTACAGAAGACTAACCCCGGGAAGGTGAAGGATAAATATGAACAGGACAAGAGGGGAAGCCTCTCATCTTCCTCCAGTGAGGGGGGAATTAAAGTGCAGAGGTCACCCAGCAAGGAAATCTTCAACGGGAAGAAAGACCACCACAGATTTCTGGAGGTACGTCCTTCGTGGAAATGAAAATGCCGGAACTAGAGTTGGAGAGTCCTCCCTTTCTTTCTTTCTTTCTTTCTTTCTCTCTCTCTCTCTCTCTTTCTTTCTTTTCTCTCTCTCTCTCTCTCTCTCTCTCTCTCTCTCTCTCTCTCTCTCTCTCTCTCTCTCTTTCTTTCTTTCTTTCTTTCTTTCTTTCTTTCTTTCTTTCTTTCTCATACTGTCATTGAAAAGCCAGGGAAAGAGAATGCTTTGGAACAAAAAGAGGAAAAACCGACTACGACACCAATTATTTTGAAGCTCAGAGAGACGGCAGCTCAGGGGCTTCTGAGCAGAAAAGCCTTCTGACACCCAGTGAAACATAAACAGGGCAACAACAACAATTTGACCTTCTCCTTGGTTTTCATCATGCCATTACTGTTATTGAGGAAAATTTAAAATATATGCAGAATGTAGACATGGCAGTATAATGGATTGCCATGATGCACTCATCTTAAATAACCATCAAATCAGGGTTGACTTTATTCTTCCAGATACATTCTGAATTCCTGACATCTGAGAGGTTATTTCTGTGTTCCTAGGCCTGAGTGCCACAGGAAGTGAGCTGTGAGTTTAACTGTGAGCGGTTACAGCTGGAGACCATGATCTTCCTTGGCTTATTAGTGCGCTTCAAATATAAGCACAGGCGGTGGTGGCACACGTCTTTAATCCCAGCACTCGGAGGCAGAGACAGGTGGATCTCTGTGAGTTCGAGGCCAGCCTGGTCTACAGAGCAAGATCCAGAACAGGCACCAAAACTACAGAGAAACCTTGTCTTGGGGGAAAAAAAAAGACTTTAAAAAGTGAAGTCTGGGTTTTTTTCCATTTCCCTGCTCTAATATTATTAGCTCAATTATTTTAAGGGAACAACCACTTTAGTCTTGGAAAGCCTTTTCTGAGATTGTGTATAGTTTTTGGTTACCAGGATATATTGGAGATAGATTGAGTCTCTAACTAAGGTGATTTTGCATGAATTAAGATCGACTAATGGCTTATTGTGGAAGATAATGCCACCTGAGAACAACCAGTTTGACAAATTACTTACCAATATTAGCATAATGTTTCTTTTCCTGTGTATTTGTAGATTGGTCATACATGTCTCCATAGGCACGGGCAAGCCGCCACAGAAACTCTATCTCTTCACTAAACTGGAAAGAAAGAATCGCACACTAGATTAATGCATTAGTTTGTCCAGACTGACATCATTGCTTTCATTGTACCTTAAAGGCAGGTAAAATGGTATTTATAGATGACTGAATTTATACATATGGATATTTAACATTTTAAACTCAAATATTTATGGCTAAGAAATATGGCCAAATACAGTGTTACATTCGTATTGTAAATCAATTAATATTAAATGGAAACTAGATCCAATTGTGTAGTAGATGGAACTGACATGGGCCAGAACCTAAACAGTCTCCCTGGACTAGGGCACCCTCTCTCTCATCCTTCGGAAGTAGTCTACTGCCAGTATAATAAATAGCTTACTGAGCATTGTAGGGAGTATTTGTAAATTAAAGTGCATACACTCAGAAAGGACATTACAATTTTTACCTAAATGACCCAATTATAATTGTAAATATTTTTGAATTTTTAAAAACTTTTACTGACAGTTAATTCTTGCACATCTTCATAGAGCATTGTCTGATCTTTTGGTATATTTGTATGCTATGTGTTAATCAGTTAGGATCTGCAGGTTTTACAGTGTGTTAAGAGTTGCTAAACCCTCAGACCAAGGTTAGCCTCATATTGCTCATGGGCAAAAAAAGATTTGATTTCCCCTTAGAATTTAGAGCCCTTTAGGTCCCTTTTGTCATTGGTGATGGTGAGACAAGATTAGTTCTTCAAGTCCCACATGAAACACTACAGAATGACTATTGATAGAAACAGCTGGAGCATACTGATCAATATGATATTGATAGCAATATAGAAAACTCCAACTACAATATTTATTCTCTCCAGGGAAAACATACTGTATGCCTGGGCATAATGACTTACTTCTTCATGTTATAAAACATGCATTACGTATCAAAGTTAATAAAATCAAAGTAACTCTATATAAGGCAGGTTCCTACTTTTGTGACCTTAGGTAAACCTAATTAACTCAAATTTAATTAAAAAAATTACTCGTTTTATAAGAAATACATCAATCATTCTGTTTCTATGCTGTGACACAGTGTTATAGTTCCAATATGAGCAGGGTAGTACTTAAATAAAAATGGAAAATGGCACGCACATGTTATGCACATGCAGCTCTTACCTTTTCTTTGTGGTCACAAAGCAGCTCAAAACTCTGCACTTTGTCAGACTCATTTATCCGTAAAAGGTCTACCTTCTGAAGGAGGACATCCAACTTCAGTTCCTCTATGTGCGTGTTAAAAGCCTTAGGGCCTGGGAAACTCTGTTCTTCTGTGTCAGTGTTAGCTGTCATATACCTAAGACGGCAGAAACAACCACCAACTCCCTTTAGACTCAAGCACAGTGACCCGAGAAATCCTTTGAAAATGCGAGTCGAAGTATTCCACTTAGTGATAGACAGTGTCGCGGCACCCACTGTTAACACAGAGGAAAGGTCCAAGAGCTGACTATTTACAAGGACTCGAGCAACTTGTGAACCAGCCCTAATAGTTCTCTGACTTAATGTCTAACCAGTCAACTCTCCACTGGCCCCTTCAGCCTGTCATGGGTGCTCCTACCTCCTACCTTTACCCGCTGTTCTCTCTGATGGAATGTTCTTTCCCCTAGACAGCAACGTAATCTCTACGCCTAACTCAAGTCTCCGTGCTGATGTACGGTCTTAGTGTGGTCCACGCAGACTATTCTATTTAATGCCGCAGCCCCGACTCTTTCTTCCTCTTCTTGACGTTCGATTTTCCCCCTCCATAGCACATGTTCTCTTTTATATGCTATAAATAATAATCCTACGGCATATGTTCTTTTTTTTTTCAGTATCAGCTCCACTAGAATGCCTGCTTCTTAGTGGTAATGTTCACTAACTAAAGAGCTAAGTACCCAAAATAGTGTCACGCAGTGTACATTCCCTGGATGTTGTTGAGTAGATTATACCAAGCTGAAGGAACTTAGCAGGCACTCAAAAACGTGTGTGTGTGTGTGTGTGTGTGTGTGTGCATGTTTGCACGTTTATGTATTCATCTACAGTTGAACATGATGCACTAATTTTGTGTGTGTGCATGTGCACATGCATGCTGTGTGGAGGTCAGAAGTTGACATTCGCTGTCTCTCTTAGTCACTCTCCACCTTGTGTTTTGAGGCAGCATCGATCATTTCACCTGGAGCTCACCTGGTAGCCACACTGGCTGGCCAGAGACCTGCCTGTCTCCATTCCCTCAGTGCTGGGGTTCGGATGGGCGTGGCTGTGCCCAGCATACATGGGGGCTGGGGATCTGAACTCAGGTCCTCATGCTTGTGTGGCAACAAGCACTTTCCTGACTGAGCCATTTTTTTTTTTTGTTTTAGCTCCCACTGCTCTAACTTTAGTTTAGTTTTCAAAAATGAATACTATTTTCTACGCTGGTTAGTTTTGTGTTAACTTGACGAGCCAGAGTCATTTGAGAGGAGGGAACATCAGTCGAGAAACAGTCCCACCAGAATAGCCTGGGGGGTATTGTCTTGATTGATGATTGGCACGGGAAGGCCCAGCTCACTGTGGGCGGTGGTGCCACCCTTGAGCGGGTGGTCCTAGACTGTATAAGAAAGCAAGTGGAGAAAACCATGGTGAGCAAGCCAGTAAGCAGCACCCCTCCATGGCCTCTGCATCAGTTCCTACATCCAGGTTCCTGCCCTGCCCAAGTTCCTGTCCTGACTTCCTTTCATGGTGGACTGTGATAAGGGAGTGTAAGCAAAATAAACTCTTTCTACCCCAAGTTGCTTATGGCACGGTGTTTAACACAGCAATAAAATCCTTAACTAAGACAGAAATTGGTACCAAAGAGGGAACTATTTCTGTGACAGATCTGAACGTGTGTTTTTGGGGGAGACGATGGAAGGACTTTGGATTGAAAGACGATGAAAGCAGTAATGAGCATCATGGCACAGAGATCTAACAAGGAGACTCTGGACTCATGGGTACCTAGGAATGAGAGGCAATGGGCAGAGGAATACAACAGAACATTTAAATCTCCAAGAAAACTCTGAGAAAAATGAAGGTATGTTAAAATAGTTGTGTATATGGCAGGAAGTGGAAAAACTCTAAGTACGTATGCACACAGATCTGTGAGAAATGCATGCTCCAAAAAGACTTGAAGAGACCCTGAACTTGGACACTTCGCTTGATCAAGGAGGGTCTTCTACACATGGAGCCAGTCCATGGATCTGGATGTTCTTTCAACTTCTCAATTTTCAACAAAACCCACAAATATCCAAGGAAATGAGGAAAGGTAGTTTTGCATCTCCAGACATGGATGCGAAAAGAGAGGCACGTTTTAGAGTTTCTAGTCAACGATTTTAAAGTAATAGTCTTAAACTTTGCTTAGAAAGCTAAGGAAAAGAAGGAAAGAACCAAAAAGATAAAAAAAAAGAGGAAAATAACAAAGTGGGAATGTCAGCAAAGAGGCACGAATTATGAAAAAGAACCAAACAAATCATGGGGCTAAGATTATGCTAAATGAACTGAAATTCGCTGGAAGAGAGCAAGAGAAAATTTTAACATGGAAAGCAAAGAACAGGCCAAGTTGAAGATGCATCCTTTGAAAATGTTGTGAGCAATAAAAAGAATAAAGAATTAATAAAAATAGATACAATCTAAAGGGCTTGGGAGATACCGTTATGTTGACCCAATACACATTATGAGGATTCATGGAGAAGGGACAGTGAATTTACATGAAAAAAATAATTGCCAAAACTTCAAATCCAAGGAAAGACAAGTACAGAAGAAGCTGAGTCTATACCAAGTAGAATAAACCCAAGAAGGTCCACCCAAGGGCCTTACACTTGAGCTGCTGAAAGACAAAACCAGAGCATCTTGAAAGGGGCCAAAGAAACTCAGCATACGTCAAGGACTGTCACCTTTAGTGGACTTCTCAGCCACAAGAAGCCTTGTGGACCAGATGGCACTGGGAAGATATATTGTAATGCCATAAGAAAGAAAGGAATAACAAAATAATTCTACAACCAACCAAAACTGCCCTTGAAAAGTACAGGAGAAGTCAAATACTTATAAAAAAAAATTAAAAAAAGCCAAGTTTATTATCTGCCCTACAAGAAATACTAAAAGGAGTCCTCCCAACTGGCCTTCTACAATAATCTGAAGCCAAATAAAAATGCTGGGGATGAGGCTTAACTGGTAAAGTGCTTGCCTACCTCTCAGGGAGCCCTGGGGTCAATCCCCTGTCCCATGTAAACTGAGTGCGGCAACACACTCCTGTAATGCTAACAAGGTGGAAACAGGAGGACCCTTGCTGACATAGTTCAAGGTCATACCTGGAAAGACCCTGTCTCAAAACAGCAACAAATACATTAAAAAAGTTAAGTTCTCCAGTAAAGACAAAAACATGGATAAATACTAAGCTAAGTATTATCATAATTCTGTTTTGAAACTCTACTTTTTCTTCATGATTTCAAAAGAAAAGTATAAAATTATGAATATATATTAATACTTATATAAGACAGACGTAAGGTGTGACAACATCATAAAACAGGGAAGCTAAAAAGAAATAGAATTTTGGTATGTAATTGAAATTTAGACCAGCTTAAAGTCAATTGTTACAACTTTTTTTAAAAATTGGAAATCACAGAAGAACTTATTTAAAAGGAAATAGGAACATATAATAAAACATACAATTTTAACATGAAGGAAAGAATTAATTGAAGAAATAAGGGGCAAAACCACTATAACACAGAGAAAATAATAAAATAGCACCAATAAGTTCTATTCTATTAGTAGTTATTGTATCAAATGCAAATTGACTAATTTCTCAATGAAAAAATACATATTGGCAAAATAGATTAAAAAATCAGGATCAAATTATGGGATGTTTACAAAACACCTTTACTCTAAAGAAAAACACAGGTTGAGTGTCAAAGATGGAAAAAGACGCTCCATGTGTATGGTCACGAGAATAGGTTAAAAGTACTATAGCGATAACACACAATATAGACTTAAAGTCAAAATCTGTGACATAAGGTGAAGAATACTGGGACTGGGTTCCTCCACTCTGTATTTTGATTGGTTGTGGTTTTATGTGATGGTCTCCATCTATTACAAGACATTTCCTTGATGAGGGGTAAGGCCTACCTGTATCTGGTACAAAGTGATGGTTGTAGGTTCATCTCCAAGATGCATGACTTCACTATCCCTGAGTAGCTGGAATTGTTTTCTAGTATAAGGTGTGGTTTCCCTTTTGTTGAATAGCACTTAAGTCTAACTAGAGATCTGTTGGCTACCGTCAAGGTATGAGGGCTACTACTGCCCAATGGACACATCTACAAAACAACCCTTGCTCTTAAGGCTCAGGGAACATTGTGGAAGAGGGGGTGAAAAGATTGTAAGAGCCGGAGGACCAGGGAGTTTGCTATACCCATAGGGTCTCATCAGCATGACTGTCTAAACTTGAGCTCACCAAGGACAACAACAATGGACATGCCAAAGTAGATGGGGAAAGAGCACAAGGCCTCAACTCTGCACAAAGAATTCCAGGCAAGTCAGGAATGCTGAGTGACAAACAGTCTTACCCAGGGATTATCTAATACCAAATGTCAGTCCTAAAAACATACATGCAAGTAACATTATATAGACTGCGCAGGTTATACTTAGGAATATAGACACATACATGTATATGACAATAATTAATAAAAAAGAGGCCATAAATTTGAAGGAGAGTCGGGAGGGATATATAGGAGGGTACGGAGGGAAGAAAGGGAAAGGGGAAGTGATGTAATCACATCATAATCTCAAAAACAATAATTTAAAAAGATAAAGCACAATATATAACAAAATGGCCAATTGATTAAGAATAAATAATAATATTTATGCATCAGACATTAGAGCTTCTGAATATATGAAATACCTGAAGCAAAATTTGACAGAATTGGAGGGAAAAGTAGCCGAAGAGTAGTAAAAAGAGTCTAGCATTCTACATTTTCTTCTTGTAGCACTAGGAGTTGAACCCAAGGTCTCATACATGCTACGCAAATGCTCTACCATCAAGCTACACCCCAGCCTTCACGTCCTACTTCCAGCAATGAATGGAACAAAAATACTAGGCAGAAAACTGATTGGAAAATGATGTAAATATTACTGTAGATGATGGGCCCAATAATGCCTCTAGACAATAGCAGAATACACATTTTTCTCAAGATAAAGAACATTCTTCAGGACAGATCATACGTTAAACCACAAAATAAGTCTTAATGAATTTAAAAAAATATTTAAAATGCATAAGCTGTCTTTTCTGCCTCTTGGGATTCATACAAGTGC